TTTTTTTTTTTTTTTTTTGGTACTGACGATCGAACTCGGGCCCTTGTGCTTGCAAGGCAGGCAGTGGAACCACTGAGCTAAATCCCCAGCCCTCAATAGAACTCTCTTAAGGCTTGGTGTGTAACTCAGTGGTAGAGTACTTGCCCAGCATGTCTGAGACCCTGTGTTCAATACTCAGCACCACAAAATTAATAATAATAATAGAAGAGGAAAAAGAAGGAGAAGGAGGAAGAGGAGAAGTCATTTTAAAACAAAACAAAACAAATTACAGTAAGGTACATTCTACAATATCCTCACGAGCTACTGTCTTCCACGAACCTGGGACCCACATCCAGGTCCCTGACTTCCTGGAGTACAATTTATATGACTCTGATCTATCCCCATCAACTCACTCTGTTACGAACACTTTAACACCCTCACTATGAAGAGGAAACTGAGGACAGGCAGGACAGACCAGCTCATGTGACACAATGTGCAGATGGCGGTCCCAAGCTCAGAAAATAGCCTCAAAGATTCAGGAAGAAACAGAAATCAAAGGAAAGTGGCTGTGCCAACTCAAAGTGGCCCTGCCCACGTCTAGCTAGGCGAGCTTCAGCAGTCACTTAACCCTCCTGTACCTGAATCTCTTCTTCTGAAAGTCAGTCGTAAAGCTACTGACCTCAGGGGTGCCGTGAAGACTGAGTAACACTGGCAGAGAGCTCACAGGTGTCAGCCCGCGACAGCTGTTTATCAAGGACACGAATGGGGAGGCGGGCGCTCAGGAGCACTCAGTGTGCCTTCCAGCTGCTGCTGCTGGGGCTCTCGGTGCTGCTTCTCCTGCCCCTCAAAGTAGATCATTGGGGCTGTGATACAGATGAAGGGGTAGAAACTCATCAGAAGACTTAAACTGGGGATCGGGTCAGTCTACTCCAGAAGGGGGACTCATACTGCCACGTCGGTCTCCAGGTAAGGTGACACAGCCCAAGGAAGGGAGCCACCAGGACTGACTGCGCTGGATGCTGGGCTCAGGAGGGCAGCTCTCCTAAGGGAAGTCCTAAGAGAACGAAGGCACTTGGGCACCTCCACCTGCCCCTCAAGCCTCTCTCAACCTTGAAGCCATCAGCCGCATCCCAGGGGCAGTCCCAGCTCTTACCCGTCGTGGGACCTCCTCCTCTGCTGCCTCACCCCATCTGCACTACTTCTTAACATCCAGAGGACTTGTTGCTCTCTCACCCAGACCTTCTCTCCTCTTCAGCAACTCCCCTCATGGGCCAGGAGCTTCCTAACATCATCATCTGGCCCCGTTCCTTCCTACTCCAAGGTAAAGTGCAGGCACAACGGCCCTCAAAGGCTCTTCCCCCTGCTGCCCCACAGGCCCCTGGACCACAGGTGTCCCCATCACGTGTCTCACGTCCCCTCTCTGCTTGGCACATGTCGAGGCACCATTCTAGGCCCTTGGGCAGAGCAGGGGATGAGAGGAGTCCCGACCCATGAGTCCCATCAATCCCCATGTGCTGACACAGGCTGGGCCCCAAAACCTGTCAGAAAATGCTGCTGAGGTGTGGGGTGTGGCTCGGTGGTAGAGCAATTGCCCAGCACACATAAGGCCCAGGGTTCCAACCCTAGTACTGCAAAAGATGAAGGGAAAAAATGTCTGTTGAATGAAATGAAGCACACTGGGCTACACACGCCAAAGCTGCCTGCCTCCCCAGCTGAGCCGACAAACACTTCCTGAGCCCTCACTCCTGCTGCCTGGGCTGTTCTCTATGCACAATTTTTAAAACCCTGTCTAATGCCATCTCCACCATGAGGCCTTTCTCGGGCCTCTAAAGCTGTGTTAGTCCCTCCTTTCTCTGGGATCTCCTTGTTACCCTGGGCAAGAATGATTATGTCCAGGTGCGTCACCTCCATCAGGCTGGGATCACCTCCCCCAGTGCCACTTGAGAGCACCTGTGACTCATCTCTGTGCCTCCAGAATTTGTGTAAGACCAGGCACACAGCAGCTTTAGTAAATACTAGCGAATGAATGAGCGAACCAACCCATCAGGAGAAGAATGAACCTCACGAAGAGAACAACATCAGCTCTTGAGCCTTGGGGAGAAGGGAAGAAGAGTGTGAGAAAGGGACTCGCCTGACCTCTTCTCCCTGACTTTTGCACCCCACTCCCCCACAAAGTCCCCAAGGACTTTCAGGAGACTTCAGGGACTGACCATACACCACACGCAGTGGTGCCGGTGGTTCCTAGCCATCCGGCACTCAGGGACCCTCGGTGAGTGAGGCTGTTAGCAAATGTCTGGTTTCCTGTCTGCAGGCCATCTGTCCCTCCGCAACAGGTTCACTGGCCCCTGTCCAGAGGGAAAAGGTCCACTCTAGATCAGGAGTTCCCTAGGGAATGACTTTTGACTTGCTGCTTATGGGGAACTCTAACATCCTGTGGAACCTTCTAGAAACCCCCTCTGAATGTCAGTGCCCACGGCTCTGATCCAGCCCAGATCACAGTGTTGTTGAGTGGCTCCCATAGATCAGGGAAGCCAGTAGGTCATGAATTTGGCTGCAGTGAAGTGTGGCTGCCTGGCACATCCAGCCTCCAGGCCTAGCTTTTCAGGGAAGCCCTTGCTCTCCAGGCCCTGTATGTCACCACCTCATGACCACAGCACCTGGCAGAAGGCAGCAGGGCACAGTGGCACAGACACAGGCGCCACCAGGGACTCTGTGATTATTGTCTTATCCTCCAAGGGGGAAAACAAACCAACCTCAGGAAATAGCTGTGAGGCTTCAAGAGCAACACCTGGAAAGGGTTTCACACCATGACTGGCGCAGAGCAGATGATGCACAGTGGACACACCACAGCCCCTCCTTCCTAGTTTTATAAAATGCACGAATGGCAGCCCTGGGGCTACCAGACAATGTCTTTACCTGGGCTCAGGTATGAAGAGGACTGGAACATCAGACCATAGCAGTTAAAGACTAAGGCTCTGGAGCCTTAGAGATAGCTTCCAGTCCTGGCTATGCCACGGACTTGCCATGTGATCCTAGGCTAGTTGTTTCACCTCTCTGGTCTTCCAATTCTATATCTTCAAGATGGAAACTACGTAAGTTCACATGTACCAACACTCTAGGCTGGTAGGTGTGACAAAATGACCATTCAAGCAATCGTGACCACTGGGGGCCTCCCATGGGCCAGACACTGTGCAGGGAGCCTGGGGCTGAACTAGTTCCTGGGCAGAGTGTACCCTCCCCTGCTCTGGCAGCGGTCAGGATGGTGACACCCTGGTCACAATCTGGGACACTGGACGCATCCGTCATACTCCCTGCTAGCCTGTGCACAGTGCCCTGTGCACATCAAGGGGAGCAAGGGCAAAGCTGGGCCTGCTCAGAGAGCCCTGCATATGGACCTTTTACCCCACCGACCTCTGAACCACTCACCAGAATGGTCGTAACCACCAGCGTTTTGTTGGCCAATGTTTGTGACAGGTTGATGTCCAGGGTGGTGGCATTCATGGCCAGGGTCCGGTTAGAGTACCACACCCCTATCTGAGGGCAGAGAGGGTACTGTCAGCACAGGAACCACCTAGGGACTCTGCAGCCTCTAGGCTACCCCACCAACAGCCCAGCAGGGCTCTGGCATTGCCCTGGGCCTGCTCACCTCACGATGGCCTTGCCGAGACTTTTCTAGGATGCGCAGGGTATAGTTGGTCCTCTGCCCTTTGCTGTTGAACTCCACCCGTCCGGTCAGCCCGTCATACTCTACCTAGCAGGGCAGGAGGCGGGGCAGAGGGAGGGGTGGCAGGGCCCAGAGATGGGCAGAAAGGCCCAGAAGGGACCAGACATTCAGAGAAAGGCACAGAAACAGGAGTGAAGGGGACAGGAGAGAGGGACCAGGAAGGATCACAGTCATAGAGAAGACAGCACACAAAGAAACACAAGCAGATGGCACGAAGGAACAGATGAGGAGTAAGACGCAGAGACGGCGTGCAGCCCAGACAGGCAGAGGACAGCAAGAGCGGACAGATGAGATACAACAATGCAGAGGAGGCCCAGAGGCAGGGCAGGTGTGAACGAAGGGAGGGGCGAGGGCAGAGGGCGGAAGGGTGGACACAGTGAGTGCCCCCACCCGAGGTGGTCACCGACCCGCTCCTCTCTCCCCTGCTCCTGGCTCACCATGCGCAGGTAGTTCATGAGGCTGGTCCCGTGGGGCCAAATGTTGGCCGAGGTACAGGCTAGGGGCTTGACACCAATCTCCTGGCTGCGGTTCAGCTCTCGGACGGCGCTCACTACCACATGCACGGCATCAAACATCAGGGCAGCAGACAGCTGGGGAGGCGCAGAGGTGGGGACATGGGAAAGGGCTTAGCTCGGAGATCCCCATGTACCCCTGCGGTGCTACTCTATGCCCCTGGACAACTCTCTTCACGGGAATGGCTTAGGAAGGAGGAAGAGGTTCCGGTGTCTTTCTTGGGACCCGTGGAAGGCACTGGGGAAGAGGTACGTGTTGCCCAAACCTTGGTGGGATTATCTATGTGCAAGACTACGTCTGGAGAAGCCCAGGATGTTGGAAGAGTCTTCCACAACCAAGGGGGCATATGGGCAAAAACCTGGCAAGGAGGGTGCAGCTACTGTTCTGTGGAGAAGTGTGTGGGAAGCGGAGGGAAGAGCATGTGCAAAGGCATAAACGTGCACCTGTGCTTGGGCTATCAAGGCACCTGGAGGAAGCTGGTGTGGCTGGAGCAGCACAGTAAGTGCAGAGGGAGGAAACGGTCAAACGTACCCTGGGCTGTACCACGAAGCGTCTGGGAGGGCCAGGCAGTTCTGCGCACCATCTAATCTGAGTGAGATCCCCTCTAAGTGTCTGTGCACAGTGTGTCTCTGAGTGTGACTGGGTATGTGATGTGCTCACCGCGGGGCCTGGGTAGGTGCTGGCTTCACAGTTCTCCCTCCAGGACATGTTGAGGCTGCGCACAAACTCGGGGTAGAAGGGGTGGGAGGTGTTGAACATGGAGAAGCCCAGGATATTGGAAGAGTCCTCCACAATACCATCCAGGTGCAGGATGGGGAAATCCTGGAACCAAGAAGAGGTGGTAGGGCCTTGGGCTGGGCTTCACATGCGGCAGGCACGGAGGCAGGGAGACGAGGACTAGAGGGAAAGGTACGTACCATGGTGGTAAGGATGTACTTGTAAAACGCTGAGGTCATTCCCAGCTCTGAGGCCTGGAGAACACAGGAGAGGTCAAGAGGCGGTGTGAGAGGCAGGCAAAGATGGGGAACTCAAGAGAGCAAGGGAGATTTAGAGACAGACCTGGTGAAGAAACCTAGTGGGAAACAGTAAGAAACTCCCAGGACAGAAAGATGAGGAGACAAGTGAGGGCAGAAGGACTCGGTCCCTTGCAACCCATCATGCTGGCTGGTGCTAGGGTAGGGCTGGGTGGAGGTGGATAGATTCACCGGAGAAGAGAACGAGGCCCTCTCATGAGAGCATTCACACTTCCTTCTCGAGACAGATGGGGTGGGCAGGGACAAGAACCTTAACCCTAACCCCTACGTGGTCCAAAAGGGCTGCTATCATGTGGGCCACAGGCTGGTGGTACACAAGGTTAGAAAAGTACTCTTGAATTCGAATCTCGAGGTTCATTTTGGGAGTCCCCTTTCTCACAGTCCTGGAGAAAATCAAGGCTAGATGACCTCTCCATGCCAGGGGTGCCCCATCTTGACCCCCATGACAAATGCAACATTACAAGGTGCCAGGGCCGGGGATCTAGTTCAGTGGTGCCACACCTGCCTCGTAAGTACAAGGTCATGAGTTCAATCTCTGGTAGCGGAAAAAATAAACAAATAAAAAACATTACAAGGTGCCACCTTCTACTTCCAGAGTTGCACGACCTGGGCCCTTCCATGTGGGCGTTGCGGAAGGTCAGCTGGACAAAGTGGCTGAGACCCCTTCCAACCCAGAACACTGTCCCTAAGCTATCCTGTCTCAAGAGCCCATTCACACTTCTTCCTATGGGCCATAATCGGTGGTGACATATGACTTTAATTTCAAGGAAAAAGAAAAAAGTGAAGAAAAATAATATGAATTGGATTATGAAGAAAAAATAAGAGCAGGGAAGCTTATGAATGATTAATGATGGGGATAACTGGTGGACAGAATGTGCCCCTGAGCCAGTCCCCAACCTGAACCCAGATCCTTCCTCCACAAAACGCTCAGGGCACTGGTCCTGCAGGGTAGGATGAGAGCCAAATTCATGCAAAACATCCCAGCTCAGAGCCCAAGAGCACTATGAAGGGCCATGGCTTGGCCACATTCGCCCTGGGCCAGCACCACACTAAGCACTATTCCTACCACTCACTTACTAACCCTCATGACGAGTCACTGAGGTAGGAACTGTCATTGTCCTCTCTTTACAGAGAGATGAGGTGCGCTCCAGGGCCACGTGACCAGGGAGTGGCCAAGCTGGTAGACAAGTGTTATGATCACGAAAGCACCTGCAAATAAGAGGGTCTTGATAATCTGTCCCCACTACTGAGGCCCCTGGGCATTAGGTGACTTGTTGACGGTCATTCTGCTCCCTGGCCCTTTGCAGAACGAGATGGAAGCGGGGGCCCACCTTACGGAGGACGAGGTGGGAGATGGACGCATTGGCATCGATGATGATGGTGGATACTTTGTCATCTCGGATCTCCTTGAGCAACGGTGTAGGGTCACGGCTGTCATCTAGCATCCTCACTGACAGCGTCTCCTTGGAGATGAGGAAGCCACGTACCAGTTCCTCCAATCGCAACAGGCCTGAGGGAAGGCTGGACTTAGGGCTCTACCTTCTGGGTGCCTAGCACAGGGAAGACCCTCCTTTCTCCTCTCCAACATGGGAAACCTGGATAGAGGACTGAGGGACACGCCAGGGAGAGAGGGACAACCTGGGGCACCTCAAGATACTGGGCTCAAGAACAAAATGCCTGAGTTTTCTCCAAGCCAAACCTCAGCCTAGATTCCTCCCAGACCTTCAGACACCTGTCCCTATCTCCATGCTGACCCTCGCTGGAATGTCTGACACTGCACTCAGCACTCCTTCTTGTCCCAACCTCCATCTCCCTTGCCTGCCTCTCCCACGGCAGCCTGCTGGTCACTTAGGTCAGAACCTCTGAAGGCCATCTGGTTTCCTCTTTCTCTCTCTCTCCTTCATCCAACCTCAGTCCATCTAGGCTCTACCTTCAAAACATACTGGAACCCATCACACACACCATGCCACTGTCACTGCCCTGACCCAAGCCACTATCATCTCTTGCCCTTGCAGTGGCCATACTTGCCCAAGTCTGTTCCTTCCACAGAATCCAGAATGATGTAAAGCGATGTGCACCCACTCTGTGCCAAGCCCTCTGACGGCCCCACATCTCCTCCTTCCCTAGCCTCTGACCACACAGGCCTCCCCAGCCTCCTTATTGATCCACATACACAACAGTTTCACTTCTGTCCTGCAGCCTTGGTCCTGGATGTTCCCTGTACCTGGAACCCTCTTCCCTCAGGCCTTAGCTCCTCCAGGTGGTTACCCACCTGTTACCTTCTCAATGAGGCCCACACCCACCATTTCATTTAAAATTGCCCTTGATTTCCAGTCCTTATTACTTGCTGCCACATCTCCATAGAACTTATTAAATATAATTATACACTTATTTAAGGTGATTGTTGCTGAATTGTTGCTTAACTCCTATCCTCAGAATGGAGGTTTGGACAGGGATTCCCATCTGCCCCACTCTTTGATCTCCTGAATGCCAACAGTCTGGCATATAGCAGGTGCTCAGTGAGCCTCTCTGGAAAGAGGGATTCTTTCCAGAGATAAAGAGACATGTTCTGCTCTCTCAACTTCATACCCACAAACTCACCAGTATACCGGACATTTCATCTGAATGTTTCCAAGATACGCCACACCCAGCATGCACCCCTTGAATGCACTGATTTCCTTCTCTGCACAGAAACCTCATGTCAAACTCACCTCCTCTGTCTGTTCTGGGTCTCTAACCCGACTGCCACCACCTGAGCCCAAACCCTCGTCTCCCAGCTCTTGCGTCTCCCTGGTCTTCCTGGCACACTTGTGTCCTTCCCCAGTCTGCACTCTTTCTACAACATGAAGGGGCCATGTTCCCTGGCACCACTCTGATCTGAAACCTTCCACATGAACTTCATTCCTGTTTCATTCGCCCACACTCTGACCACAGGAACATTCCTGAGCCTGTGAGGGGCCACACGCCCTCAGCCCTCCACCCCTGCTTCCACTGACCCTCAGGTTCCCCCACACCCTTCGGATTCAGCTTAAATGTCCCCTTCTCAGGATGTGGGCTCAGAACCTCCTAGATAGGTTAAGGACCCTCCCAGAATCCGCACACACCTCCTGGTGATCCTGTACCACTCTGTCTCAAGAGCTCAAGGACCCATGGTCTCCCCTGGACCTGGAGTCCCATGAAAGCAGAAACCAGGTCTAGCGCTGGTCTCTGCCAAACCCCAAGGCCCAGCAGGGGGCCAGATGGGCCAGCCCCTAGTTACCATCTGTGTACCAAATGGGTCCCCATGGGGCAGGGGTTCTGTGGTACCAGAGATCTCAGTTTCTGAAAAGGGAAGGGCTCATACCCAGATCACCTAGGGGCTCTAACCAGGGGGCACTGAGTGACTGTGTGGGCCTCCAGAGCTGTCAGGGAGGGGTGTTTGGGGGAATCAAAAATAAAATATCCAGTTATCCTCCCTCACACTCAGCCTTGGCACAGATGAGGCTGGCTGAGGGGTAGTTGAAGGACTTGAGGATTCGGGAGACTGCCAGGCTGACGTCCTCATTACTTGGGTACAGGCTGACAGACGCAAAGCGAAGGTACTGAAGACGGGGTGTCTCCTCGGGACCCACCTTGATGTGGGGGATCTGGACAGAGAGGGAACTTCTGTTTGCATCCTGCTGCTCTCCGGCCTTGCCTCCCAGGGATGGCTCCCTCACTGCCCCACACTCCCCGCCTCACCTCCTTCTCCCCACAGATATGGCTCACGGTAGAGGCAGATGCTGGGCTGGAGGAGGGCCCCAGGACCGACACGACCCCCTTGGGCAGGATCTGACACACTGCAAGGGGCAGAGAAAAGACCACAGAATCAGGGAACCCTCTGTTTCCTCCCTGCCTCAGCCACCCGAGGTCTAGGAAAGGATCGGACACCCAGAGCTGCCTGATCCTCCTCCACCACCCAGACCCAGAGGCCAACCCCTGACACTGCTCAATGCAGTGTTTAAGAGGAGAAAGGAGACGGTGGCGGGGGCATAGCCTCAGAGGGACAGGTTACACCAAGGGAAACAAGTGAAAGCACAAAGAGGAAGCAACACCAGGGGCCTCCTTCTGACCTGTAAATCTGGTGCCAGTTGCTCTGCCTTTATCTTTCTCAATCTTTTCAATCTACCACCTATGAGGCACTCAGGAATTCTCTACCCTGAAGCCCCAGCCAAAGACCCCAGGGTCCTCTACACGCCAAACATGCCCTTCTGTTGCATCTACTTGCTCTCTCTTCTTCTTTCTTCCTCTCAAACACGTATGTGTCTCAGGACTCAGACATGGGCAGCTGGTGTTTTGATCACCCCATGCCCATTCTCGTGGCAGATCCCTAACTTATCCTGGGAGACCTGCCCTGTGCCTCAGTCCATGTGCTTCTTAGGACTGACTGGCACCCAGCTTAGGCCTAGCCAGTCACAGAGCCACAATGACTGGTTCAAAAATGGGTATGGGCTCAAATTAGAGCACAGAGAGTCTTCCCCATATCGTCTGTTAAAATTATTGTTGGTTTTACTAAATTGGTGAGATGTGAGCTTTGAGCTGCTGGGCCATCTTGTCAACACTTGGGAAGGGCACTCCTGAAAATGAAGCCAACTCAATGGAAAGCAAGACCTACAGATAAGGCAGTGTCTCCTGGAATATCATTTGAGCACCTGGATCCAGCCATTTCTGAAATAGTCCTGGGACATCCATGCCTGAAAGGAGTACCTAGGTCTCTTAGTGACATGATCTTATAACGTAGGGTTTGTTTGTTTGTTTGGAAGGAGGGAGGGAGGGAGTTTGGTACTGAGGATTGAATCCAGGCCCTTGCATGTGGTAGGCAGGTACAGTGGTACCTCAGTTCATGAACTTAATTCTTTCCACAAGTCTGGTCACAAACAGAATTAGATGAGAACTGAATCAAATTTCTCCATGAGGTAAACACTGAACCTAACTGCTGAATTTGATTTGGTTCTCATCCAGTTCAGTTTGCGACCAGACTGTAGAAAGAATTAAGTTCATAAGACAAAGTACCACTGTACCCTACCACTGAGCTACCCCAGTCATCATATCTCTCTCTCTTTTTTTCACTAAAGCCACCTAAGCTGGGTTTCTGCCACACTAACTAAAAGCATCCCATCTTCTTCCAAACTTGTTCCTTCTGTGACTTCCAAGTTGGTAAAGGTCCCACCACTTACATAGACCAGATGCCTGGAAATGATTCTGGCCTTCATTCTCTCTCTCAATAGCTATTGGTCATCAAGTCCTGTCCCTTATTCGTCTACAGATTTTCTTGCATCCGTCCCCTTCTCTTCAACCTATAGCAGCCCCTCACTTATCACCCAAATCCAGTCCCCCCACTGACAGCTCCCTGTGGCCTTGGCTCCAAGTGGCATCTTACAACCCTGGCACTGCAGCCCTCAGCCAGCCTGCCAGGCTGCCCAGCCTTCCTCCCAACGCCCTGTCACACTCTAGCCCGGACGTCACTCATGATCCCCACAAACAGGCCCTGAATCCAGGTGGTCAGGATGGCCCGAACCCTACACCCCATTTCTTGGCTCCAGACTCTTCCTCATGCCCTCCAGCTCTAACTTCGTGCCAGCAACACCTTCTGCCTCCTCATTATTCCATCTTCTCCCAGATAATATATTGCTCTGCATCAGTTAAAAAAAAAAAAAAAAGTCTGGGATGATTCCCCAGTCCTACCAAAAAAAAAGAAAAAATCTGGAAAATAATGTACCTCATTCTCCTTTTCCATAATTTGAAATATGCATAAATATAGTAAAACTTCTAATAAGGCCTGCAAGAAACCTAAAACATGGTTAGGTTTTTTTGGGAGACAGAACCCAGAGTCACATGCATGCCAAGCACGTATTCTACCACTGACCTACGCCCTCAACCCTAAGACATATTTTAAGGCAGCAGATCACAAAGGTCTATGACCTAGCACATCTGTTCAATTGGCACATGTTAATATTCACTCAGTTCATCTGTATTCAAAAAACACTTCTTGCACTCCTACCAGTGGCAAGTCAGGTACCACTGGGCATACTGGGAACAACATTACCCTTCCTACATCCTGCTCACCTGCCAAAGCTCAACTCCAGTTGAGCCTTCACTCAACTGCCCCTGAGCCTCCTAGCTCTGGGAAAGAGAAGGCAGAGACAGAAGGAAGGAAGGGGGAAGAAGCAGCCAGAAGAGGACAAGGAGGAGCTAAAGAGGCCAGGGGCAGAAGGATGGACTGAGGGCCCTGGCCTGCCCTGCCTCACCCCACACCCCTGCGGCCCCGCTCACTGGTGTCCGTGGTCTCGTACTGGCTGTCCCGCTGCAGCTCAAAGATGTCCACTTCCACTCGGGCCTTGGCTGGGACCTCGATGATCCCGTTGATCTGCTCCCGGGCCAGGGCCAGGGCCAGTCGCTCACCACGGCCACACACTGTCTGGTCGTCCAGGATTGCAGCTGAGGGGACACAGGGGTTGGGGACCAGACTCCTGGACTCTGGAGTTCGAGTAAGGGTCTAGACTCCTGGATCTGAGGCTGGAAAGATCTGGGGGCTTGGGTCTTCTTGTTGCTGAGGAAAGCTGAAACCTGAAGCCTGGAATCCTGTGTCCTGGGGGACTGGCATGCCTGGGTTCCCAAAGAGGCATCCCAGGGCCTGGTGGGAGGGTCTCTGTGGAGCCAAGGGTGCTGTAGGGCCTCACCCATGCGCAGTGATGAGAGCACCTGGCAGCTGGGGCTGGCAAAGGCAACAATCAGCAGCAGCAGCAGCTCAGCCGGCATCTTCCTCCCCTCCTCATGGGGACGCACCTGCCGCGGCCCCCACTCGCCACCTGCAGGGACACCCCCCAGACCCAAGTGGAGATTGCTGATACAGAAGGATAGAATCCCTTAAGAGGACTGCTAGACAAGGTGGCAAGCACAGCCCCCAGGACACTGCTGGTGAGGAATTTACAGCTCCAAAGGACTTGATCTGACTCCAAGCTCAATAGTATTAGGGCACAACTAGGAGGGAAGCCCAGGCTCAGCGGGACGCTAGAGAGGAGCTCACAACACTGAGCTGATGGAACAGACACTGCTAGATATGCAGTGATCTAGGCAGGAGTGAGGTAACTTGAGATTTCAGGTAGGAGTGGTGCCAGGAACCAGCCTCACCCCAATAGGAAACCAGGAAGTATCACACACCCCACACACTCCTCTCCCCACCCAGTCCCACCCCTGTATCTGGGCAGGCAGCTGTTACTAAGCAACAGAAACCAGTGGTTGCTAGGCAACTCCATCCCAAGCCTCACTTGCCACCTTTCTGACGTCCCTAGTTCCCATAATCCCATGAGGAAAGAGGCCTGGACATCCGGGGTCTGGGGGTGGGGGTGGTATGGTATCTGGGAGTTTAAAAACTTAGGAAGAGATGGAGAAAGAAAAACAGGAGAACACACAGATGCATAGACCCAAAGCAGCCAATGGGTCTTTTAAAAAAAAGGCGGGGGTAAAATGAAGAAAAGTCAGACAACAGAAAGAACAGAGAGACTTAAAGGGGGAAAAGAAGTACAGACCTAGAAAAAAAAAAAGAAAAGAAAACAGTCAGATATATAAAGAATGGGAAAATGTAGCTAAAAATGGAGAGAGACAGAGAGAGAGAGAGGGAGAAAAGTTGCAAGGAATTAGGAATGGCATTAGAAGGGAGAAAGAGGCAAGAGACAGGAAGATGGAGAGAAAGGACAGAAGCAGAGCAGCTGATCAAGGGGACACAAAGCACAGGAACAGCACAAAAAGATGAAGACAGAGACCAAAGAAGGACACTAACTCGGGATGCAACCAACAAAGGAGAGACAGAAGAAAGTAAGGCTGGAAGTGAGCTCCCTGCCAGAAGTGCACGCCAAACCCCTGCCCCCACCCTGCTCTAGGAGGCCAAAGAGAAAAAGGAGACCGTGCACCTCTGCACTACTCTCTGACCCAGGGTATGAAGGGTTGCTGGAGCGGAAGGACTGCTCCAGGACTGCGCCTGGCCTTCAGGACTGCAGGGTAACCACGTGCGTGTAGTTCTCCTTGGCAGAGGGCTGTGCCCCAAGGGAAGAAATACTTAGGTTTCCATAAAGAGATTGTTGTAAAGCCCAGAATGCTATGGGGCGAGCCTCATGCCTTCCTTCCCCTACCCAGTCCCCAAAGAAGGAGGACTTGGGCCTGTAAGATGCCAGAACGAGAACTGCGAGGAATAGGCAAAGGTGCAGGTCAACTCCTCAGATCTTCCAACACAGCCAGGAAAGCCCAGGCAAGGGCAACAGGAGACCCCATAAGTCCCGACTGTTCCCCTACCTCACTGTGTGACCTTGAGCAAGTCACCACTCTCTTGGTCTCTGAAAAGGAGAGGCTGAGGAGCAGGAGGACATGCTGGACAGGCTGGCGACTGCAGACTGTAATTTAGACCTAAGATGGGAGCTTGTCAAGGGTGGAGGAGCAAGCAGCACTTGGGAGAGCTAAAGACGGAGCTCTCAGGGAGAAGGGTGGAAAAAAGGCCTTGGAGAAGGCTGGAGGGAGGTGGGTCATCCTTGGATATCTGGGGCAAATGCGCAGCAGAGACTAGGAACAGAAAGACCCAGAGAGAGGCAACAGAAGAGCAGGGACCCACAGGTGGTAAGCACAGGTGGACACAGAACAGAAACGGGGCAGGCCTGGGTGCAGCTAATGAACACAGAGGTCAGGAAGGCATGCATTAAAAGTCGGACAAACCAAAAGTGGTAAGGGGGCTACATGACACAGACAAGCACAGCCTAGAAGAGAGAGGAGGCGGCAGAGGGCAGACAGAGGATGCGAGAGAGGTGGGTACAGGCTCTAGGTAGGCCTGAGACCACAGACCCAGACAAATACAGTCAGCCAAGAGGGGAAGGGGTCAAGGTAGGGACCCTACTGGGGGAAAGAGAGACCACTCACCAACAGAGAGATACAGAGGAGATGAGGAGGCAAATAGGGGGAGGGGGACCAAAATGATTGATAAATAACAGCAAGTACAAGAGCTATAAGGGAGAAACAACAACACTCTGAAAAGAGGACTAACCTGAGAAAGACAGGCAGAGGAGGAGAAGGAATGCCAGAGCCGCACAGCAGCCTGAAGAGGAAGGGGCCAGAGGGGCGGAAGCATGAACAGGACAGTGCGAAGCAAAGCACACAGCGAGATAGATGGGCTCACAGGACCAGAGAGGAACAAGGAGAGCCAGAAGGGAAACTGAGGCAGACAAAAAGAGTGACAGTGTGAGGCGGGCACAGGCAGCCCACACAGACGTGTAACCGCCCGGCAGATACTCGGGGATGCTTGCCCCAGTCCAGAAGATCCCAGAGCCCACAAGCCCCCAAGAGTGGGGAGCAGAAAGGCCACGCGGGGTAACAGAAGTAGGGAAAGGAGGCGGAAGGTGGAGGAGCGAGATCACCAGGAATCAGGGAGTGGAGGGGCCGCTAGAGCGTGAGGGAGGGGCTGGGAACTCGGTGCCTCTAGGTGAGGGAAGCTGAAAAGTGAGTCCAAAGACAGCCTCTGAGCCTCTGAGCCTGAGCTGGAAAGAGAAGCCCTGGGTGGAAAACAGAAGCAGAAAGGCCGCTAGTGGGCATGGACACCTCCAGCAGAGAGGGGTGAGAGTTTAGCAGGGATACACAGAGGCACGGTTGGGCTAACAGCAAAGAAGAGAGAAGTTGGGCAGGGTCAGAGTGAGGTCCGAGGACACATGACAGAGCAGACAGAAGACATTTCTGGGAGACAGAGGCAGGATGGGATGGGGACAGAGCCTGTGACAGGCAGAGAGGATGTGGCAGAGAGAGGGGACTGAGACCCTGAAACAGAGTGAGAATGGGCAGCAGCTGGTCTGGGACTGTGACCCAGAGCTCAGAAAAGTCAGGGGTAGGGACGTGCCAGGAGCCGGAGAGAAGCGGCACACCACTAAGCGCCGGTCAGCCCCCAAGACCGCCCAGGAAGCCGAGGGAGTGGGGCAGGTGTGAACTGTGTACTCAGAAGGGGTGAGAAAAGGTCGGTGAACGGAGGTTGGGGAGGAGGAGGGCACAAAGCAGGCCCCTAGTGGGGGAGGCTCCTGCCATCTGGGGAGCAGGGAACATGGGGACCCTGCCAGGCGGGCAGTGAGCCCAGCCTTCCAGGACCCAGGACCCAGCCCGATCCCCACCCTGCAGACACTCACGGATCCTGGTGGGACGGAGGGCTGGGCTCCCTCGAGGCCCGAGGAACGACAACCGACAACCGGGAGATGCTCCGGCTCTGGGTGATGGTGTGGCTGGGGCAGGGGGAGAGGGCAGTTCACAGGGCCCCCTCCCCCGCCGCCGGCAGTGGCCCCCAACTAATCCAAAACGGTGGCTCCCCAGGAGCCCGGAGGAAGGACAGG